GGGAGAGGAGAGGCGCAGGGAGGCGCAACACCGCCAGAGTTGGCAAGCTGGAGGTGTGCGCCCGCAACCCAAAGATCCAAGTAAATGCAAAGAATTGCAACACACAGAGGTGAAAGAAGTTAAGATTTATTTAAGAAAAGTTCACACCCCATAGACAGGGAGCAGGCCCACATTCTAGGTGAGTGTGGCGTCATAGCCCCCCCAAACCTTGGTTTAAATCCTTTTCCTTGGAGATGTTGCAATCAGATAGACATGACTGACGTGACTTTCTTATCGACCACCTGTGGATGTCTTGGAGAAACTGTGACACAGAGACCCATTACTGTCCGCCCACATTATCATAGCCCCTAGAGAAGGGTGTGACAAGGATTCTAATTCTCCTGCACCTTCCTGGACAATATTCCTTAGACCTAATGGAGGGTGCACTTCCCCTTGTCTCCTAGGCATTGCCAGTGGGTAGCTTTGGGGGATCCTTGGCTTCCCTGTAGATAGTGCCCAGTTTACTGGAAGATCGAATCCCCACCTACTCTCCCTCTGAGCAGTCATAACTTTTGTAATTACTAGTTTCGTGACTTTTATAATCCTTGCCCATTGCATGATGTCTTAGGTCTTGTAAATTCCCTTTACTCTAGGCAAGCTTGATTGTCGCTATGAGATACCTCTGATACCTGGCACCAGGGAGTCTGTTTCTGAAAAGACAAAGTCGGCAATGTTAATTTTGCCTAAAGTGTGCATTTCTCCAAAAGCATAGCTTCTACTTTCTCATCATTGTTATTAAGTTTTAAGAAATGAAAATGGCTTCTTATTCTTGGTCTGTCCTTTCAGGTGTGACAATGGGTTTAGTAGAGCTCTCTTTCAGTGTCTGTTACTTGAAATTTCTGTCTGTTTCTGCTGTCATCACACCAGCTAGTGGTGTTAGGCTCCACTAACTTCCGGCTCATCACTTTATTGTTTCCAACAATGTCCTGGGACATAACATTGCTCCAGTCTGATCCATTAATTTCAGGCCTGTTGAAGGGTAGTTTTGGAGGTCAGTCTTTGAAGCTTGTTCTGGCCCCAGGAGGGGTCTTAATCTGGTTATTTCAGGGAAATTGACCTACAGCTTATCTTGTTGCTCTTCTGGACCCTCTGGTTCACTTTTAATTGCTATAAAAATCTCCATTGTTTTTGAGAATGTCCTTAGGTTCGAACGTCCTCACTCTCTAATGTGTATTTTGCCATTATGTTTTTGTATAGGCATTAACTATTATAAATTTTCATCTAAACAGTCTTCCATATAGACTGAGTTCCTCTGGGGAAGGTTTGGGAGATATTTGTTCTTGTGATCTGCCTCTCCCTTTCCTAAAAATCTCTGATGCACCTCTCCAGAGCTGGTGGGTCATGAGATTCTGGGGTCTACTTCTTTCAGGGTACCACCTTTACTTTCCAAGCAAGGTGCTGCAATGACCTCTAGTATTCTCAGCCTGCTTCTCCTGACCTGAAACTCACGCCCTGTGAGTGAGCTGAAGTGGGGGTGATCAGGCCATGGTGGTCTCAGCTTGCCAGGAAAGGGGCAAGGTAGTCACCTGCAGATAAGTCTGGATACAGGAAGGGAGCCCTTTGCTTCCCAGTTACACTGACCTGGTATTTAGCCTCTGCAACAGGGAGCTGGAGCGGAGAGGAGTAATGCTGGCAGCCTGTGGGACACCTCGAGGTGTATTATAGCCATTGCCTGGGATATGGGGGATCTTTGAACATAGATGCCTGAAATGGAAATTCCATTATACTTTGCTGGGGAGTGGGGAAGAAGGAAGCAGATGTGGCTCACACGTGACTTGCTGTTCTTGCTGAGATTTCATAGGTTTTCCTGAATCAATTACTGTTTACTTGATGTGTTCTCTTAGGACAGTTTCCATTTAAATGATTAAACCTATTTCCTTTAAATGTTTTTTTTAATACGCACATTAATGATGATTGTTTTGGTGGAGAGTGGGTCTGCAGAACTCATGGAGCCAAGTCATCTCCAAAGTCAGAACTTCAGAATGTTAAGTCAGTAATGTTATAGGTAATGTATGGCTGTGGTAAGAATCCTAAAGGTTGGACACAGTTGACCCCAGTGTGGTAACTGAAATAATATAAATGAAAGCACCCTGACGTGTCAAGTCTTATCAATACTGGTTATTCTTTTTTTAAAGATGTGTGGTAATTTTTGAGATGAGAGAGAGCTATACAGAAGTAAGGCAGCTGGGAGTTGAGCACCAGGCAGCAAACATTCTGCCACTGACTGACTTTGAGGATTTGGTAGTGGTGGAGGCAGTGGGAGGTGAGTTTTTGACTGAGCTATCTCAGCAAAGGTGCCAAATGACTGTGTTTCCCAGATGAATTTCTTTTGGCTGTTTTTGAAACAGCTAAATGTGTACTTGCCGGGCAAAGGGAGCAGCACTCAGATTGGTGCTCAGAATCTCTGTGCACAAAAATCCAGGCACAGGGCCAGCACCAGGCTCCCCAAGAAGCTCTGCCCATATGTGTTCTGCAGGCGATTCTGGGCCTTGAATATGCCCGGCCCACCTGCCTGCTGTGACATTTAACTGGGCATCTGGTCTCTTTGTGGCAGGCAGAATTCCTGGTCTGTTTCGAAGAGCCTGGCCATAGATGGCTAGAACGGGGATCCACATTCTTTAAAACATACAATTATTATATCATGGTACAGTATAGTCTTATAAGCACCGTGTCTTGCTGCAAGACTGGGGAGTCAGGTGACTCATTTCATCCCCGGAAGGGAAGGGAGGTTCCTGTGACTGGTGATCTGTTTTTAAACAAGTACCCTCTGTATGAGGAGTTGTCAACAGTTATTTAGGGAAGACAATTGTGTCACAGATTCTTCAACTGAGTTATGATGTTGACCTTGTATGGATAAGAGACACTGTCTTTCTGGGATCTGTTTAGCCATCCATATGAGGTGTATCTTAACGGCATCTTCAAGTGAGATTTATAAATCATCTGTGTGACGTATTGATGGAGTCTTTGAGTTGGACACACTGTGTACTTTCAGGAAATACATCTCTTACTTCAGTGTTTCCTCAAGCATGCCACAGGTGCCAATGGAAATATACATAAAATGAGGCTTGGTGACACCTAGACATACCTTTTGAGATTTTTAATATTCACATATTTATTTTAATGTGCCTTAGAAAAATCATGTAATTGTATTAAAAAAAAACATTATTTGACAGATATTATTGCTGGGGATAAAGCTGAGTAGACAGAGCTGTGATTACTGGCCTTACCCAATCTGTGTGAATTTGAGGGATAGTGGCCAGTCATGCCTGTAAAAATCACAAACCTTTAGCAAGTTACTCTCCTTCCACAATTAGTGGAATGATGAAGAGATCAGACGACATATATCAACAATAAAGTTTCTCAGATTCTCATTTAAAAGTACTCTGATATGCTTTCTTTCTCCAGTGATAGAGTAGTTTGTGATTTGAAGACATGGCAGAAATTGTGGGAATGCCACATAAGCAACTGAACTGTGGGAGCCTTGGCCTAAGAGATGTCATTGGTTCAAAATTCATAGGAAGCTACATCTAATTCTGGCAATCTATGCATGCATACTGGGTCTGTTGTGGTGCCACTTGCTAGGAATATGTAGATAATTAAGACTTGGTTCATGACCTTGACTGGGTTCGATTTAAAAAACGCTCCTGTAAACATGGGTGCAAAGTAAAATGGAAGCACACAAGAGTTATGGTTGGAGAGACAGGGAAGACTTCATGGAGAAGATGGTGTTTGAGCTATGTCTTGAGGGATCATAGGCAAACAAGAGTGAGAGGGCATTTTAGAGCAGAACATGAAAGAGCTGGGATTGTAAAAGAAGAGTGATTGCAAGAAAGGATGATCTCTTTGACTGGAGGGTAGGGTAGGTTTTGTGTTAGGCACATGTTGGTGATAGGATGGGAGGTGTATATGAGGCTAGAAAGATAGAGACCTCCACTAAGGTATCTGGACTTGATTTATGGACTGGAGTGGCAGAGATAAGACATGCATGTGATAAAACACTGCTTCCTCGCCTGTGCCCATGATAGACATCACCTATCAATCTCAGAGCTCCTTCATGCTGGAGCCCAGCTATAAACTGGTTTGCATTGGCCAGCAAGATGAACCTATGTCCTATTCCTGGTAGAGGCTATGGGGAGCAGGCAAAAGTTTTAATAAGGGATGGAGCACATGCTCATGAGGCCAAGATATGGATTTCAAAGTGTGATATGTCTGAGGGCAAACAAAGCAAAGCACTTTTCTTGCTTTCTACTGGTATTACATTACATACACCAGGATGACCTGATCAAAAAGTGACAGGCCTTGAGGAGAATGCAGCTGAAACACATGCTCTGTGGGGCTAGAAAGGTACTTCAGAAATATACATACTGAGATTCCAATATTGTTTCACTAAGAATCTGGATTTTCCATTGTTCTTAAAAAATCAGAAGATGTCTGAACACAGTCTTAGCCCTCCCACGTGGCAGCAGTAGGCTCAGCTGAGGCCCCCTTTCAGCAGGGTTTGGAGTGTGTTCCCTCCAGCTTTCCACAGTCCCTCATCCCTGCCATTCATAGCAGACCTGCCTTCCTCATGGAAGTCACCTCCCTGGTCTCCGTGGGGTTTTGGTTATTGAGTCAACTCCCACCAGTACCTTTGAAAGCTCCATCCCAGGATAACTGTGCTGCAAAATATAGCTTAATTGCAGGTGTAAACTGAATTATATTATAAACATATTCGATAAGATGAGCTACATTAGATAAGACATATTAGAACGATATGCTAGATGTGATCATCTTAATTTATTGTTAATGTAGATTGAGGTTTTTCATAAAGCAGAGTCATTTAAAGAACCACAATAAGGGGACGACTTCTCGGGCCATACAGAACTGGAATTCTTTTAACCAGGATTTCACCCAGCCCTTCCTATGATGGAAAGGACCCAAAGTCAACGTGGGGTCGATTCTGGCTACTCAGGTCAAAGCAGTGCTTGCACACCAAGCCTTCCACTGTGACTCACTCTGCCAGTCTGGGTTCCGATTTGCTGGGTCTCTCTGGAAGTCTGTATGTTGAGTGTGAGTTTGGTCTTCCAGACTTCTCTTGGCAGCAGTGAACAGATCTTGCTCCTGCCCAGTCTTTTCAGTGTGGCCCTTTCTACAAATCACTTTACTGTTCTAATAGAAGTGATAGGGAGGCTATTGTTTGTATGTGTTTTTTCCCTTTTCCCAAAGTCTCAGAAATAAAAATGCTCAGCTACTAACTTTGATACCTTGAGTTCAGAATTCACAGCATCCTTTTTTATAAAAGTTTCTTTTCTAAAATAAATTTCCATAAGTAGTTTCAAAACAGGTTTGGAAAACAAATCCTGCAAATCTTTCTCTTTCTCCCCTGAGAATACACGTATCCTGCCAAAATGTTTATCTTCTATTTCACAAATGTACGTGCAAACCCTGAACACCTAGGCTTGTGGCTCCCGCATCTGTGCCAATGGCTCCTCATTAACAGAGCTTCCCTCCGGTAGGTTCAGCGAGTGCAGTTAGAACTGGAGCAGGAAGCTGGGCAGCGCCATATGCTGGGCTTTCACCACATAAACAACTCTCCATCCCTTCTGGGGCAGCCTTTGATGAATATGAAGTGCTTGGATCTCTTCCTAAGCTTACAAGCGTTGGTGGCACTTTTTAAATCTCCCTATGTCATGGGATGAAATGCTAAAATGAAAACATCTCACAGATAAGCATATGCTAAACTTTACACCAAATCATAATCTTAGGCCTAGGTTGCTTGTATAGTACTGAAGACAGTTATGCTCACCACTGTACCACCAACGCCTCCTGGTTTTTATTTTTTGAGTTGAAGTCTCACTCTGTTGCCCAGGCTGAAGTGCAGTGGCATGCTCACAGCTACTGCAGCCTCGACCTGCTGGGCTCAGGTGATCCTTCTGCCTCAGTCTTCCAAGTAATTGGAACCACAGGCACACACTACCATGCCCAGCTAATTTTTTTATTTATTGCAGAGAGAAGATCTTGCCAAGTTGCCCAGGCTGGTCTTGAACCCCTGGGCTCAGGCAGTCCTCTTGCCTCTGCTTCCCACGGTGCTGGGATTACAGGCATGAGCCACCGTGCCCAGCTGCTTGTATAGTATTGATAAGAAGCAACATTTTGCTAACACTTGTCTATAAAAGTAGAATTAAACCTTAGAGAATGTGATTTGGAAGGGCTTTTTCTCCTTGTTTTCTCCATAGGGGAGGCCCAGCAAGCAGATTCCAGAGCTTGTTTATACTCTGTACACCTGCCATCTAATTGGAAGTGGGGTAAGGTCAGGTGGGGGGACAGTGAGTCCTGTTGGAAAGATGTCCTGGGAGTCTCAAATTAAGATAAACAGCAGCCCCTTCTTGTGGTTAGGATAGACTGGACACAGCCAGTGAGATCTACGGTCTTGTGAATTCTGGGCAAACTTCACTGTTCAACCAAACACTTCATTTTACAATATTTTGCACATGAGTCTGCCTCCTCCACTCAGTAGGCCTTTGCTCTGTGTCCCCAGAGTTCTACTCATAGCCCGCCACATAGCATCTCTGGTCCTCAGCCAGAGCCCGAGTTTTAACCTCAGATGCACTGTGAACTGTGTTTTAAGATGAAGTGTTTTCTCTCTGGGCTGCATCTCTACAACATGGGCACAGATCAAACCTTCTGTGAGGTCTCTTTCAGCACCAAGATTGAGATTTTATGATAAAGGCTTGTGCTGAATGAGATGGAAGGTAAGAAGTACAATGGTTCCCATTCTGCCTACACTGGGTCTGAGGACTACACTTGCCAGGAGGCCTGAACATTCAGTTAGTTACAGGCTGAGCACTGGGCAAACTGCCAAGGCAAGATGAAGAAATGGCACATCCCAGCCATGGTCTAACCGTGGAGGCCAGACCAACCTGCATGAAGAACTGATGAAAGCAAAATGTAGCTGAGTGCAAAGCATCATGATCAGACCTTCAAAGGCTGAGCCAGGGAGATCTTTTTGAAATAGATACTGTGAGTTGCTTTGATTGCTGGTGAGGGGTGGGAGGAAGGCTCACAGGCCTGCCAGTTGCTAATTGTTGATCCTCGGCATACCACTTCATCTTTCTTATTCTGCACAGTTCTTGCATGTCTGTAATATACCAGGCCTCATGACCTTGGGCTGCAGAAAATCAAATAAGGCAGCAGTCTTATTCTCAAAGGACTTGCACTACAATTCAGGAAGGGCAGAGAAAGTGTTAATTGAGTGAGTCTTAGTGCAAGAGAATGCAAAGGTGGATGGAAATTCCTCAAGCCCCAGGGTCCATAGACTTATTCTCCTTGAGCTCTCTATGATAATTATTTGACTCTGCATATTTATTTCTAAGATGATCTTTAGAAACATGTAATCATCTAGTATCATTTACAGTAGATTCAAAACGTGCTACTTGATTTCAGTTATGATGTTTGCATTTGTGTCCATGATCATACTGGAATGCAGTGTGTCCATTTCTTCATGCCTTGAGCCATATCTGGTCAGAATACTGTTTTCCCAAGCTACTTAGGTCAGTGTCTTTCTTCCCAACCCCCTGTAGTGAGAGGCTGTAAAAACATCTTGGTTGATGTTTTGATTACTTTCTGTTATATACAGGCCTATGGGTTTTGACGTATAGTCATGTATTAGCTACCACAGTAACCAGTAACCTACAGAACATTTCTGAAATCCTCAAAATTCCCCCATGCTGTTCTTTTGTAGTTAACCTCATGTTCACCTTTGTCTCCTATTGATTCATGTTATGTTCCCATAGCTTTGGTTTTTTCTAGTACAGCACATAAGTGGAATCATGTAATATGTAGTCTTTTAGATCTGGCTTCTTTCCTTAGAAAAATGCATTTAAGCTTTATCCATGTAATTATGTGAATTGATAATTGGTTCCTTTTGTTGCTGTGCAGTATTTCATTGTATGGATTTACCAGTTTATTTATCCCTTTGCTTGTTGAAGGCATCTGGGTTGTTTCTAGTTTTGATATTATGAATACATTTGCTCTAAACATTCATACGGACATGATTTGCACAAACATGTTTTCAGTTCACGGGGATAGAAACCTTGGAGTGGGATTACTGGATCATACAGTGAATGTTTAACTGCATAAGACATTGCAAGACTGTTTTAAAAAGCAATTGTACAACTTCAAATACCCCCCCAGAAATGAATGAGATTTCCTGTTTCTACTCCACACTCCCAACAACATATGGTATTGTAATTTTTTTCTTTTTTGCCATTTGAATGGGTGTATAGTGGTATCTCTTACTGGTTTTGATTTGTGTTTCCCTGCTAATTCTTGCTGGTATGTACATTTTTTTTCCTGTGTTTATTTGCTGTCTACAACTCTTTCTGAATGAAGTGCCTTCAGATCTTTTGCCATTTAAAAAATGGGTTGTTTATTTCATTACTGCTGTGTTTTAAAGTTCTTTACATATTCTGGATACAAGTCCTTTATTATAGCGGTAATCTGCAAATGTTTTCTTCTAGCCAGTAATTTTCCTATATTTGCTTAACAGCATATTTTATAGCATTAAACATTTTAATCCTGATGATGGTCTGTTTGTCAATTTGTATGGACCAAGATTTTGGTGACATATCTAAAATCAAATCTATCTTGGTAGCTATCTCATGTGCACTTGGGTAGAATGTATATTCTGCTACTTTATAAATATCAAGTAGGCCATGTTGGCTGACAGTGTTGCTTTAATCATGTATTTTTTTTTGTACCCATTTTCTTCTTATTTTATTAATTACTAAAGGAAGAGTTAAATATCGAAATCTTTAACTATAATTTTGGACCTATTTCTTCTTTCAGTTTCACAAGCTTTTGCCCCTTATACATTGAAGCTCTATTATTAACTCCATACACATTTATATCTTTGGAGAAGGTTGACCAATTTATCTTTATATAATGTTTCTCCTTATCTCTGGTAATAGTCCATGTTCTGATGTCTATTTAGTCTGAAATTAACATAGTGACTCCAATTCTCTCTCAATTAGTGCTTGCATGGTACATTTTTCTTTCTCTATCTTTTTACCTCTAGCCTGTTTGTGACTTTATATTTAAAATTGCTTTCTTGTACAGAGCATATGCTTGGATCTTGCTTTTATAATTCAATTTGACAGTCTGTATACTAAGTGCCAGATCATTTATATTTAAAATTATTGGTTGTATATGGTGGCTTATGCATGTAATCCTAGCACTTTGGGGGGCTGAGGTGAGAGGATTGCTTGAACACAGGATTTCAAGACCAGCCTAGGTAACATAGCAATACCTTATCTCTAGGTAACATAGCAACACCTTGCCTCTACAAAAAATCAGAAAATTAGCCAGGCATGGTGGTGCACACCTGTAGTCACAGCTACTCGGGAGGCTGAGGTAGAGCCCAGGAGGGCAAGGCTGTGGTGAACTGTGATCATGCCACTGCACTCCAAGCCTGGGTGACAGAGTGAGAGTCTGACTCAAAAAGAAAAACTATTTAAAAAGTTGAAATTCTCAATATGATTAGATTAAACTATACCATCTTTCCGTTTTCTGTTTGTTCCATCTGTTGTTTCTTTTTTCCCTCTTATGTTGTCCATTTTTTAAATTCTATATTTAATCTCAATTTATTGACTTGCTATTTATAACTTTTAAAAATATTTGTTGCCCTAGTGTTTGCAATATCCTTTTTTTAAGGTCATTCAAATCTACCCTCAGATAAAATTACATTGCTTTACATGTAGTGTACAACTCATATATCTTATTTTTCTAATACTCCCTCTTATCCTTTGTGCTATTTTAACATATTTTATTTTTACTTTTGCTATAAATATACAATATATTGTAGTTGTTTTTGCTTTAGATGGTAAATGATCTTTCAGAGTAATTATAACTCTGAAAAAGTAAATTTTATTTTTTCTTAAATGATTCTATTTTTTAAAAAATTTAAAAAATTTTATTTATTTTTAATTTTCTTGAGTTGGAGTCTCACTCTGTTGCCCAGGCTGGAGTGCAATGGCACACTCACGGCCACTGCAGATTCAACCTGCTGGACT